AATGAAGCAAGCAGCCACACTAGAAAAGTCAAAGTAATAAGGAACTGTGAATGGCCTCTAGAGTAGAGGGCAGCCTCCACTTGACAGCCAGCAAAAAGCTGGGGCTCTGAGTCCTAAAACCACAAGGGAATGGATCCTGCCAACAATTCTAATGAACTTGGAAGTAGACTCTTCCCCAGTGGAATCTCTAGATGAGAACACAGGCCAGGTGACACCTTGATGGCAGAGCATGGAGTTAAGACATGCCCAGACTCCTGACCAGCAAAAACGATGAATAAATATGTGCTGTTTTAAGCTGCTACATTTGTGGTCATTTGTTATGTAGCAAGGGATAGCTAATACATGCACTGATATGGAGAGTGTAAAAACAAGAAGTCAAGGATGGCTCCAAAATTCTGGGATTAAGCAAAGAGAAGTATGAAGTAGTCATTAACTGAGATAGTCACATCTAGGGCAAGAACTGGCCTAGAGGAAAGATCAATTTTGGACACATAAAGTTTAAGATGCCTTTCAGACAGCCAAAAGATTGAGATGTCAAATAAAAAGGTGGTGATATGGGTTCAGGTGAAAAGTCTAGGATGCAGACTTCAATCTGAGAGTCACCAACACACAAGTTAAGATATTACATAAGACTACCAGGAGAGTAAATATACACTCCCAAGGAAGAGGACTAAGAGCGGAGCCGTGGGACACATCATCATTCAGAAGTCAGTCAGTTGAAGAGGAACCAGCTAAAGAGGCTGAGAAGGAATAAGTAGTTGGAACAAATATGAAGAGAATGCGGAATCCTGGAAGACAGCTGAAGAAAGTGTTTAAAAGTGGAGGGACGGGGTGCCTGGGTGGCTCAGTCAGTTCAGTGTCCAACTCTTAATTTCAGCTCAGGACATGATCTCAGGTTCCTGGGATCAAGCCCCACCTCGGGCTCTACCCTCACAGGGAGGCCATTTGGGGATTCTCTCCCTCGCCCTCTGCTCCTCCTCCCACTTGTGTGTGCACTCACTCTCAAATGAATGAATAAATCTTAAAAGAAAAAAAAAGGAGGGAGGGACTAGTATTATATCAAATGTTGGTGAAAGATCAAATAAGATGAGGACTAAGAATTTAAACTTTAAAATTCAGCTCCTCAGGGGGATCCCTGGGTGGCTCAGCAGTTTGGCACCTGCCTTTGGCCCAGGGCGCGATCCTGGAGTCCCAGGATCGAGTCCCACGTCAGGCTCCCGGCATGGAGCCTGCTTCTCCCTCCTCCTGTGTCTCTGCCTCTCTTTCTCTCTATGTCTATCATAAATAAATAAATAAATCTTTAAAATAATAAATAAAATAAAATAAAATAAAACAAAATAAAATAAAATAAAATAAAATAAAATTCAGCTCCTCAGTCACATTAGCCACCTTTCAAGCACTCAATGACCACACATGGCTAGTGATAGGATAGTGCCCCACTGGACAGTGCTGATGCACAGAACAGAAGATAGGATAAATGAGCAGAGATGAAGGTAACAGCTAAATGTGGTGGTGGGAGTTTGAGGAAGTCTTCTTTGGATAACTGTTACCTTTCAACATAGAAACAGGAAGCAAGGCCATTAGCTGAGAATGAAAACTAGGAGAATATGTGGTGGAGATTCGAAAACTGAAAAGAAATATGGCAGTTGAGCAGGAGAATGAGAGCAAGTCTGAGACAAAACCAATGGACTGTGAAGCCCTGTGGGAGCCAAGAATTGCTGAAGTTCACCCAACTGCTCACATGTACATGCATGTCTTCTGCCAAATTTGGACAATTCTCTGCCATTATTTCTTCAAATTCCTTTTCTGACACTCTCTTGCTCCTCTCCTTCCAGGACTCCTCCAGTGACAGAAATGTTAAGATTTTTTGTTATAGCCAGAGACCTTCAGGTCTCTGAAGTTCTATTTAAATCTTAAGTATTCTATTTTCTCTCTGGTTTAGATTGAGGGATATCTACTGTTCTATCTTCAAGTTCACTAATTCTTTCCTCTGTCCTCTCCATTCTGCTATTGACCCTGTTCACTGGGATTTTTGTTTTGGTTACTGTATTTTTCAGTTCTAAAATTTCCATTTGATTCTTCCTTAAATCTTCTATGTCTTTGATGAGGTTCTATTATTCATTCGATTTAGGTGTGTCTATAATCGCACACCAAAGCATTTTTATAATGGCTGTTTAAAATCTTGTCAGATAATTCTAGTATCTATGTCATCCTGCTGTCAGCATCTCAACTGTCTTCTTCATTCAAGTTAGGATTTTCCTGGCTCTTTGCATGAGAAATGATTTTCAATTGAAATCTGAACATTTTGGATATCATAGCATGAGGCTCTGATCTTATTTACATCTACTGTTATAGCAGGCTTCATCTGACACCCCAGTAGGGAAGGGGAAAGGCCAACTCATTACTGTTGTTACTACCAGGTGTGGGTAGAATCCAGGTTCCCCACAGAGTCTCCAGTGACATCACAGCGGGGGAGGAAGCCTCATTTATGCCTAGTGGAGAAGAAAGTCCCAGTTCCCTAACTGGTCTTCAGAGGTTAAGACTGTAAGCAAATAACAAATGCAAAAACAAAAACCAAATGGCTAAATATTAACTAGGTTACATAAAAACTAGATTGCTGAGAGTCTCAGTTCCCTAATTGGCCTTTCCTAATACTGGTAGTGAGAGGGAGTTGGGGGGGGGGGCGGAGTTGTTGGAGCACCTCACTAGATCCTGGCAAGAGTGGGAATCTAGACTCTGCTAGCATCAGACTTTGTTGACAGGAATGAAGGTGAGGCCACAGTTCTTTCTGTAGTGTGTGGCTATAGTAGAGTGGTTATTTGTGTCTAATAAAAGTTTTCTGTCTCACTAAGCTGCTCCTTTCCTAGTCCTTAGGCTAGAGAGAACAGGCAGGCTTATTCTTGGGGCTTGGCATTTCCAGATTGCTGCTTTTTCCAACATCAAATCTGAGATATATGAGATAAAAAGAAAACTCCTGGAATTTTCCATTACATCGTTCCTTAGGTTCCGAGGTCCCTAGCCAGACTGCCTTCTCTCTACCTTTCAGAGTAGAAAGGTACTCATGTACCTTTCATGTTTGCTTTATATATAATGGTTTCATGTTTGCTTTATATATAACGTTCAAGATTTTTAACTATACTTACCATAAAGAATAGGGGAAATCATTTCTTTATGATTTTTTAATAATTTCCTTTTTCATATTCTATTACTACAGGAGTATCAGGCCACCTGAGTGGCTTAGTCAGTTAAGCATCTGGCTCTCGGTTTCAGCTCAGGTCATGATCTTGGAATTGTGAGAACTAGACCCACATCATGCTCTGCACTCAGTGAGGAGTCTGCTTCTCTCTCCCTGCCTCTCTGTGTGCATATGCATGCACTCTCTCTCTCTAAAATAAAGAAATAAATCTTTTTTTTTTTTTTTAAAGGAGCATCTTATTTACTCTGCGTTCCTCCTGGGTTTGACTTCAATTCTAAAATTATTTTAAAATTCTTTCCTAACTTCTATCATCTCATTTCTCAATTTTTCTGTTTCTGATTATATTATTCTTTCATGCCTTGCATCATTTTTTTTTTGCCATATTTTAGCTTGCTTGGGAATATTAAGTTCTCACTTTTCTCAGTTTTGTAAGTATATTTTTCTATTATGCTTTCATGTACAAAGGGGGGTTATTCTACCAGGCAGTCTCTTTTTCTTTTCTATGTTACTTTAACTTTTAATTTTTTATGTCATTAAATCTTGATACTTTTCTGTTGCTCAATTTTAAGTAAAACTACTTTTCCCTGAACTCATACAGAAGAGGCCTGGGTTAGGACCATCTTCCTAGCTGAGATTTTAATCTCAGCTCTCTAGCTCACTCTTCTGTTGTCAACAGTGTGGTGTTCAAATACATGGCAGCTTATGTGTTGAGATATTTGGCTCTGTTCACCTTCCTTACTGTTAACTGGACACTCTTTTAACCTTTTCTCTATGGTCCCTATCCTTTTCAATTTGAATTCTAATTCCAGCAGTTTCTCCTTACTGTAGAACTTTCTCTTGTGAGAACACTTTGGCTAGTTCATTTTGAGAGCTAAAAAGGCACAAACTGCTCTAGCCCCTTCAAATCCTATTATCGATTCCCATGAGTTTAGCCCTTACTAGAATACACAAATCTTTCCAATTCCAGCTGCTGTTCTCAAAGTAGCTTCTTTTAGGAATGCTGGAGCCTGTCAGTTGGCCTCTTGCTCCCCTTTGCTTACTTCTGCTCAGATGCCAATACCACACAGGTCCTGTGGCTGTAAACAGTTAGCCCCACCTATCTGTGTAGATACCTTTTGACCAAGTTTTGTTTTGTTACTCATATGTTTTTTCATTTTGCCATACTAGTTGTCTATGTGCTTTAATGACTATTTGGGGGATTCAGAAAGTATGCTGTTGCTGCTGTAGTTCCAGAATCCCTTAAAGAACAGATGCTGGTTTTTTACAATCTTCATTAATAAAAAATGCCTAGAAAAACTTTCCAGGGCACAAAATCAGCATGAGTACGTGTTCATAAATTTCTCTCTCTAAAATAAATCCTCATAACTAACTTCATAACTCCACTGTGATAACATATATTCTCCCTTCAAGATGAACAATGTGGGACCCACAAATGGACCTTGAACTCTGGGTCAAGTATTAGATAATGGCATAATTTCCTCTGGCAAACTACAAATTCAAATAATCTGACCTACAGAAATGCTAATTAAATTTACATGTAAAGTAATCCCCAATTTATATAGAGCCTAAAGCAAAATATGAGAGTTGGTATCTAGAAAAGATGAATTATTGCTTATTTTAACAATGTATTTGTTGCTCTCAACTTCAAAAACTAAGAATACATAAAAAAATTCTGGAACAACTACTACTAAAATATTAACAGAGATTTTCCTCAGGTAATGGAATTATTGATTTCATTTATCTCTATAAATTTTCAAAATGGAAAACTAGTAAGCTTCTTGCAAAAATGTTTAAAACTACTTACGCTAGAACCATGTTGTAATCTGAGTGATTGAACATATATCCTCCAACAACCCACATTATATTTCCATTGACCACTGCTTTGTGAGAGGCTCTGGGGAGCTTTAGGTTAGAATATTCCTCTCGAGTCCAAAATGACTGGTTAGCTGGTACAGGAATTGAACATCCGGGACCTAATAAAACAGAATAAATTAGCTTCACAAAATGCAGCTTTAAAATTACTGCACTTCAAGTTTTAATCACATAAATGTAACAAATACCTAAAGAATATTTAGTCTTTCCTTTAGCATCTAAATATCAGACAAAGCTCTTTCATTGATACTTTCAATACACTCAAAGCTTGTGACCAAGGGTCACCTCCAGTAAAATTCAAAATCATATACTTCCTAATGATAACCTGACCGTATGTAGGTTAGGATTTTTTTGTAATGAAATATTTGCTTAAGCAGCTCTGAGAGGAAAAGAGTAGACAAAGGAATTATTAACTCAAATGAAAAGCTTTAGGGCTAAAATGTAAAAACTAGTCCTAGGAGTAATAATACAACCCATTCATTTCCCAGAAAATCAAGAAACTCCATTCTTGGGAGTATGGCTCCTGCTGCAACCTGTGCACAGAGGTAAGAACTCAAAGACTTCAGTTACTTAACTCCTTGATGTCAGCCAAAGCACACACACAAAAGCATTTGAACAAGGGCGTTTCCTTTCAAAATAAAAGTACTCTAAAGAAAAGGCAAATGAATAAAGAAAATTACTAAATCACTAACAGCTGTTACTACACAACCCTTAAAGAATTTGCTAAAGGTTCTTTGATAACCTCTCTATCTGCAGATAATTCCACTTGCTGACTGTTTCAGGATTCTACTGTACAACTGACCCCCATTTTTTCTGAATTTACTGAAAGTTTCTGAGAGATACCATTATTGTTAGTTCTCATCCCACTTCCTAGCTTGGTTCTCTGTTACGTTCTCTTGAGGCTGAGACCAAGTCCTCCAATTTTCATGAATGAATTGCAAAGAATGTCAAACCCCTCCATGATTCTAAAGAGACCACAACCACACATATATGAAATGAAAGATTTGCAAAAATCTGAATAAAGAGATGCAAAAACTTAAATGCTACCTGATATCTAACTAACATAAGTGGTATATATGCTAGGTCATATAGGTACATATAAGGTTAATATACAAATTATTGAACTAAGAAGACGCTGTCAAATGAAGAGAAACAGATTAAAGAAGCTCCTACCCTGCCATTCCGGGAAGCAAGAGCATCCCCTGTCATCACTTGAATTGCAAACGCCTCGATTAGGAAAACCACAATCATGGACACAGTGAGGAACATCGCAGGCCTCCCCTTTCCAGGTTTCCAAACACTCACATTGGACAGTGTTGCTGCTATTACTGCTTTTACATTCTCCTCGGCCTGAGCAATTGTTCGGACACATGTCAAAACTATTAAAACAGTGGGGGAAATGAAATCAACACAAGAAACACATTAATTTAGCAGAATTTTCAACTCCCCAAAGTTTAAGATTCTTACTGGGTCTCCAGTTCACTCACAAGCACAAAGGCAGTACTTACCGGTTGGCCTAACTGGGGTCACTCAACACTGTGTAGCTAACACGGGTAATGAAATAAAATCAACCCTGCTGGATTTTCATAAGGGGAGACAAGTTAAAAAACCTAAGGGGAGAAGAAATTCTTGCAAAGCTTCCAGCTTAGCTTCTCAAGGGTGGGATGACTATGCTATTCTTGGTGGCCCCAACAGTAATGAGCATTAGAAAACTGTCAAATGCAAGCTTGCAAGTTTGGAGAAGAGGATAAAACAAACTACTAACTATATACTCCCCATCTTTATGGTATGTATACCTCTGGACAATTTCTCAAAGTTCAGCGAAGTAAAGATTATTGCCCAGATTGGTGTATTTAAAATCCTCAGTAAGTTTATCTACTCATGTCAGATGGAAGAAAAGGGAGGACCAGAGACACCTGGAAAGCTCAACGGTTGAGTGCCTGTCTTCGGCTCAGGTGTGATCCCAGGGTCTGGGGACCAGGTCCCATATTGGGCTCCCTGAAAAGAGCCTGCTTCTCCCTCTGCCTATGTCTCTGCCTCTCTCCCTGTGTCTCTCATGAATAAATAAATAAAATATTAAAAAAAAAAAAAGAAAATGGAGGACCAGTTTAACTCAATAGTTTAGAATGTGTCTTGTAATAACATGAGAACTATATTGACAGCACTCTGAGAAGACATAATTCAGATTTTAAAAGGGGAGGAGTAATAACTGGACTATCAGGATACTTTTAAGGATGTAGATTTCTTCTAAGGCCTATGAAGAAAACTAAAAAATTTTGTAGCAAAGAATGTCAGGAAATCAGAAATTAATTATTAAAAACAAGCTAATTAATGCTCACACCTACACCCAAATATCAGCTTATAACATATTTATAATAAATTACTATAAATATTTATATGCAGTATTTTTAAATCTATATAGTTGTAATGTAAGAAATATGTTATGCCTACTTTTCAAGCCCCAGTAAGCAGAAGAATACAAAAAGTATTTGGTTCAAAAAGCTGAATGACATTCTTATAGGCCAGAAAGTAGTGTCTACTATCTCTAGAATAATACAAACAGAAAGTGAAGCTTCAATTTCATCTTTATTAAGAAAAAGGTTTTGCAAGACAAGAGTTTATAAAAACTAAAGTTTAAATCTCAGATTGGATCTTTAATAGTAAAACAGTTATTACAGTAATCACACTGTTTCTATAAAAGGCCTAGAATAAAACTGTAGTATTGCCATGATGTGCTCACCCCTATGCCTCATACCAAAAATATGTCAAATTATAATTTCCTACGGACATACTTATTAATCGTATAGGAGGGCATGGCACACAATCAGAACTTAATGTTACTGGAAAAGGAAGAGAAGGGGGTAACCCTTAGGTCCTTTTAAACTAAAGAAGGGCAAATATAACAACTTCTCCACTCCAGTGTCCTCAGGCATAGGTTTATTTCATGTGCCAAAAATTAATTATGAGTTCTCTTTAAAATTACATAAAATCTCAAAACACAAAAATCATTTTTTGAATCTCTGAAAAATGAAAGTAGCAGGTAGTATATCAAAACATCTGCTTGTATGTCTAAATTGGAATAATGGGAAAATTAGTCTAATTATCCATGCTTAAAATGTGGCTTGGAAATAAGATGAAGTACCAATTTGTGTGAAAATAAAACATAACTATTATTTTCTTCTTTTTTTAAAAATTTTTTTTAATTTATTTATGATAGTCACACAGAGAGAGAGAGGCAGAGACATAGGCAGAGGGAGAAGCAGGCTCCATGTATGGGGAGCCGGACGTGGGATTCGATCCCAGGTCTCCAGGATCACGCCCTGGGCCAAAGGCAGGCACCAAACTGCTGCGCCACCCAGGGATCCCTTATTTTCTTCTTTTACAAAGAAAATTAGGGAACACAGAAGCTGTGGGTACTACTCTCAAGGGTCCCCAAGGTGAGGTCACCCCAAAGCTAGGATTCAGTGCAACCTGAGGACACCTGGAAAATGAATGACAATGTTTTATGTAGATCTTTCTGGACAGTCTTCTGGGAATAAAGACCATCATTTTATTTGGCTTTTCAAAGGGTCTGGAAGCCCCAGAATGGTTTAGGGCTCCTTTTTAAAAAACAGAGGTCTTGGGATACCTGGGTGGCTCAGTGGTTCAGCATCTGCCTTTGGCTCAGGGTGTGATCCCTGTCCAGGGATTGAGTCCTATATTGGGCTCCCTGCAAGGAGCCTGCTTCTCCCTCTGCCTATGTCTCTGCCTCTTTCTGTGTCTCTCATGAATAAATAAGTGAAATCTTTAAAAAATAAATAAAGAAAGAACAAAGGTCTTGGAACCAAGAAGCTAATAAAATCTAGGATAACCTCAACATTCCTTCACTTAACAAATAAATACTAATTCTGGTCTCCAGGAGAGATCAAGGCTTCCCCTACACCAATGAGGGTTAAGAATAACATGCATTTCTTGGGAAGAGCTCTTCAGTGATGGGTCAAAGGACTTCTGGTGTCAAGGAGTACTTGAATTATCCTCTCTCTAGGGGTGCTCCCTCCCTGGAGTTTGTCTTCTCCCCTAAGGCTGCTACTATGAGGGGCCTTGAAAGAGCAAAAAGACTATGCCTAAGAACCCAAAGGGAACCCAGAATGGGTTGAATGACTAGAGCAATGCTACTCAGCATGTGAACCATAAAGAGGCATCAGCAGCATCAGAAGAGGCATCAGCAGCATCATCCAGGAACTAATCAGAAATTTGGATTCTCAGGCCCCAGCTCTGCTGGAATTACGATCTGTGGAGAAGGCCCAGGAATCTGCATCTTAACAAGCCCCCCAGGAGAACCCTGTGCATGTGAAGTTTCAAAAGTAACGGCCTCAACCTCTCCCCCTCCCTTCAGAACTGAACTTCTTCCCAGAGTGTGCCAATCTTAGTACCGTAACTTTCTAACCTTCCATTCTGAACTGTGCCCCTACCAGGCCCCTGACTCCACCTCCCCAGTTAGGGTCATCTAGGGCTCCCTCTGCTTACTCAACCTCATATAGCTGTCGGTTCCCTCCTTAAAACTTTCTTTTCTGAGCTTCTGTGACAATGCAGCCCCCTGACATTCCTCTGCTCCTTAATTTAGCTGCTTCTACTGCTCCTTTCCTCGCGGTGCCCACGCCCCATAAGCCACTCACTGTCCATGTGCCAGTGATTCCCAGATGACATGCCCAACCCTGTCAGCTCTTCTGGGCCCTAGATCTGGGTATCAATGTCCTGCTTGGACATCTCACGTGTACCCAACCGCCCTCATCAGTCTTTCCCCTCAAACCAGCCTTTATGCCTGCCTGGCTCACTAAAAATCACCTTGTTAGTACTCTGATATGCTGCCCAGACTCCCAAGTCACAAACCTTGGGAGCCTGAAAAGCTAAATCAGTGTACCAAACAAGACAGAGATGGCTCTAAATAGGCTTGAAAGAATCCAGAGACCCTGAGAAAATGGGCAGAAAAAGAATCCAGCAGAAAGGTTATACATGGAGCTCGCTGCCTCTGCCAGGAGTTAGCAAACTTATTCTGTAAAAAAAACAAATAGCATCTTAGGCTCCATGGGCTGCAGCATCTCTTTATCACAGACTCCTTGTTTAGGGCACTTTATGAATTTAACTACTTATGAAAACAAACATTTCTTAATAGAAAAAAAGAAAAGACAAAAGTTAGCCTCTCTCCTACCACAACAAATTCCCAAAGCTGCCTAGGACTGTTTGTCTAGATTTCCTTCATAACTTCAACTCAGTCCTCATCAATGGGCTAATCACTGATTACATGAAAACGACTAACATCTGTTAAACTGCACTCAAACAAAAAAAAACAAAAACAACAAACAACAACAAAAAAACAATGTTTTCAACCAGTAGCAGAAAAATGTACCTCTTTTACAGGAGAAGCTCCAAAGCAGTAATACCTGGGTTGAGATTGTAGTCCTACCCCTTTGACAATGTATTTTAACCATTTCCTAAAAGTTTCCTCAATTATGGGACAAGGGAAAACACAGTGCCCATACCTCACTGAGTTTTGAACTTGAAATGAGAAAATCCATGCATACTGCTTAGTGCAACACCTGGCACACTGTCAGCCCTCAATACGTGTTAGTTATTATTATTGTTAAAATATAGTCTCTGAATAAAATCACAAGGATTAGACTTAAATATCTTACTTGTAAGTGATATTAAATCCAGTCAAATTATAAGCAGCATCACTAAAAAAATGCAGCAGGGCATAACCTGATGTGGCAACAACCTCAGGGACAGTCTCGTTGCCATCTCTCTCAGGAACGATGAGGCCACTGAAACGAAAACACATTTCTTACAAAGGGGAGCATTTTCACCAGGCACATCACATGGCAGCACACAAATTCAAAACTGGAATTCATCCTTATAATTAAAAAAAAAAAAAAACACTTCCAGGAAATTCTTATAATAAATTATTATAATAAATGCATGGTACTACCCTATTAGTTCTGGATCCAGTTCTGAATCCTCTAAGGAACAGATCTGAATCTTTCACGAGGCTCTCCTTTATCTGAGGTTGTATTTCTAATGAGATTTGCAATCAATGGCCTTATTCTTTTTTATTTTTTTGCATATAAAACTGTTTATAATGCTTCTTCAAAAAAGTGAGTAAACTTCAAAATCATAGAAAGTAACAAACTTTATGAGCTGATGAATGCCAAATATATACATACTGAAAAATATGAAAAGTAAAAATGTGATAAATATAAACACAATCCTAACACTATTATTCTGATGTACTTTCTTTGCCTAATTGATACCATATAATATCTTATACTCTATCTCACAGGTAACCTACTATAAGCATTTCCCCTCTCATTCAGTCCAACACACAATAGTATTTGCTGGGTGTCTGGAGAGCCTTAAAAATTATCAAGTCAAAGGGTCCAAATGGTGGCTTTAAGTCTCTTGTTCCATAAAACAAACTTGCTTTCCAGAAGCAATATGCCAACTTGAAATCTCATCAACATGAGAAGGGAAAGATCCATCCTACCTCACTTGCCAATAGGAAGGATTACCAGTCCTATTTTAGCTTTGGCAATTTAATAAATGAAAAGTAATTCTTTTATATAGTGGTTTTGAGTTTCTTTTATATTCCTGAGGTTAATCATTTTTCCTATGTTTTACTTGCCTTTTGGATTTCTTCATATGCGAACTTCTTTTGCCCAATTATCAATTCACTATCACCAGCCCCACCATCGCATTCAGTGAAAACTTGAATCCTTATCAGGCTCTATGCAATCTGCTCCACACACACAACCCCTCCAATGAACAAACATCTCATCTATTACTCTCTTCCCTTCACTCACTCAACCTCAGCCACACTGGCCTCTTTGCTTTCCTATAGCACACACCACATCAATTCCCCCCTCAGGGCCCCTGACTACCTTAAATGGTCATTCACTCTGATCTAGCAATTCCAAGTTCTTTGTAGAACTAACACTTGCTCATGTACATAAAGACAAATATACAACAATCCTCACTGCAGCACTATTCAGAATGACAACAGGCTGAAACCCACCTAGGGGCACCTGGCTGGCTCAGTTGGTAGGGCATGTGACTCGATCTAGGGGTCATGAGTTCAAGCCCCATGTTGTATATAGTGATTACTTAATAGAAAAGGAGGAGGGAGGAGGAGGAGGAGGAGGAGGAGGAAGAGAAAACTACCTAAATGCTCATCTGCAGGGAGTCAGATGGATGAATCATTCCATATCTGCAGGTCTGCAGAACAAACAAGGAACTCGTCAAGGGATTCTGATAAGTCGGAGAAAAAAACAAGCTGCAAAACAATGAGCCTAGTGTATGTGTATATTTACACATATTTAGATAAGTGCATATAAAAATAATGAAATGGAAGAATACAGAAGTGGGAAATAAACAGGAGGGGGAGGGATTTTCATTCAATAAGCCTCTTAAATATAAAGACAGGAACTCTAGGACTCTGAAGGTGCTCAGAGTTCACTACAGAACAGTGAAGCATTTTACACTTGCGTAGTCAATTAACCAATATTTACTGATGCTGCATGTAAGGCACTGTTCTAGGTACCAGGAATACAGCAGTGAAAAGCTCCCTGCCTTCACAGAGTTCACATTAGAGAAACAACAAATAAGCCTAGATATACCACCCCCCTCGCAATACACGTATACATAACACCAAGCAGAAATAAATGCTATGAAAAGAAAAAAAAGAAAAAAAAACAGCGAAAGAACAAAAGGTGCTACTTTAGAAAGGGGCAGCTAGGGAAGGCCTCTTGGAAAGGTGACATTTGGTAAGAGACCTACCAGGAAGTTTCAATCATCATCATCATGCTTTCTTCAAATTTATGTACCAGAACCCCTTGAAATGCCGTACAGGCAAGTACTTGTAAGAGGGCCACCTAGAAACAGGCATGTTGAAAGCGATCTTCTCCTAAGGAATGACTGGGGGCTTCAGTCACATATAGAAGACCTGCACTCAATCCTAACATGACCTTTAGGACCAGAGATGGGAACACTGATCCTCACTCCACATGACTGGGCATGTCATGGATATCTGGGAACCTCAGTGTCCTCAAATGCACAAGGACAGAAATCCTATCTGCCCTGCAGTGACAGAATGAGAAGCAAATTCTTACAGCATGTGAAGTTGGCTCATACTACTAGGTGCTCAGTAAGTGATGGGTAATGATATTTATCACTCAGATGGTGGGACATTTAAGTGTGCAGGATGAATAGTAGAATGGGTGGAGGGAGGAAAGACTGGGTCAAGGCAGAGGTGGAAGGCTGTCTGTACTAGATGACCATTATACCAGAGAAAGGGAGCCAGCTTCTCCACTTCAGAGAGACTCGGGCATTGGTTTCTTTTCACTTTGAAAACCTGACATTATGACAGCTTTGGAATGTGCCACTTTCTCCCAGTGTGAAAATAAAACAACTGGTTTACGACAAAAATAAACTTCTACAGAGTAAATGAAGACAAACACAGCCTCAACCCAGCACCCAAGGCAATGGAAAGTGCGTGGGTGAGAAAGCGATGCTGCAGGCGTGCCATTCAACTGTCACCCTGAGCCGCCTCCCACTCTCCCCCCCCCCATCTCCTACCCCCAGGTAGATAAATACATACAGGCACAGCTTCGGTGGCAGCCACTTGTTCAACTTGATCAAATCAAGAAATGCCTGCCCCTGAGTTCTGTATAATCTTACATTTTAAACACAGAGTACCATTGTTTAGAACTATTTTTGAAAATCACTGTTCAAGGTATTTTCTTAATTCAGTATAACAGTGCTAGGTGGACATGGGCTCTCTAAACACACATGGGGTATACCTTGACTTCAACTACACCAGCCAAGTTTTTTTGTTTGTTTGTTTGAAGATTTTATTTCTTTATTCATGAGAGACACACACACAGAGAGGCAGAGACACAGGCAGAGGAAGAAGCAGGCTCCTCACAGGGAGCCCAATGTGGGACTCGATCCCAGGACCCTGTGAGCATGCCCTGAGCCAAAGGCAGATGCTCAACATCTAAGCCACCCAGACATCCCACTAGCCAAGTTTATTAGCAATCCTAGGTTTATACACCTATCTCCTTGCAAGACTAGATACTCCCTGAGGGCAGGGAGTTGTGGAAGAGAAGCCAGATTCTTAAAGTCAGGAGTCAGAGACTGGCAATGGGGCCAGGCAGGGTCTGTCTGTACTCCTGTCTGGTGAAGGAAGGTCCAAGAACCTGAGAGGTGCCTGCCTTTGACTGCTTCTCTGTGTGCCATGGTCTGACCACAGCATCAACTGGTTCAGCTGAGTGCTGGACAACTGACTCCTGCTTTCACAAAGCTCTTCCAACGGCTCTTTGTCAGTCGAAACAATTGCCTTATCCATAAATGACCCCACAACCACCAAGAAAAAAACAACCAGCTCTATAAGGAACAACCTTCTGATGAAGAATGTTCTCAGAAAGGAACTCTTCTCCCTGATTCATCACCACAACCACCTCTGCATCTCTGACCACAGATCACAGACCCTAGCAGAGGAGCTGCTCCACCAAAGAGCTCCATATTTAAACATGTGTTGAACTGGATGCACCACAAATCAAAGTGTGGTAGAGCTGGAAGAGTCTTGCTTCAGTGGTTCTCAGATCTGTCTATTAATGGAACTTGGTTTGATACACAGATTTTATACAGAACTTCAATGTGTAAAATATAAATGAGATCGACCAGTTCAGAATCAAATGAGACTTTGTAGTCTGCAACACACCTAGAGAAAACACAGCACAACACTGTCACCTGGGGTAGCAGAAGCTGAGGACTAGAGCACTTACATGACATGACCTGTCTGAGTTCACACAAAGACTTGAGCAGAGCTGAGATAAACAGTCCTCACCTTCTGGATCTCACGTAGTTCTTTTGTTATTAGCTGGGCTGTATGCAGGCTCTCACCATTCTGCACCCCACCCCCGCACCCCACACATCACCATTGGGTTGATTTCTTCCCTCCAAAGCTCTCCTGACCCAGCACACTCCTCAGCCACCATCTTGTGACAGGGCCCTTATGGATTTCAACAGCAGTTTTCAAGGTGTTCTGCACATCACTGCATTTAGGGATTTTGTGTTTCAGGTAAATTTCAATTTTTTTTCTTGTTATTTGTGAAAGTATTTATTTATTCATTATAAGCATGGAGGAAAAAAACCCAAAAGGGACACTCAGGGTGTCTTATGTGAATTACACTGGAAAACTTGCATTTGGGATTAAATTTCAATTTTTATTTTTTTTAATTTTATTATTATTTTTTTAATTTTAATTTTTATTTTTTTTTAAATTTTTTTTTAATTTTTATTTATTTATGATAGTCAGAGAGAGAGAGAGAGAGAGGCAGAGACACAGGCAGAGGGAGAAGCAGGCTCCATGCACCGGGAGCCCAACGTGGGATTCGATCCCGGGTCTCCAGGATCGTGCCCTGGGCCAAAGGCAGGTGCCAAACCGCTGCGCCACCCAGGGATCCCTAATTTTTATTTATTTATGATAGTCAGAAAGAGAGAGAGAGAGAGAGAGAGAGAGAGAGAGAGGCAGAGACACAGGCAGAAGGAGAAGCAGGCTCCATGCACCGGGAGCCTGACGTGGGATTCGATCCCGGGTCTCCAGGATTGCGCCCTGGGCCAAAGGCAGGCGCTAAACCGCTGCGCCACCCAGGGATCCCAAATTTCAATTTTTAAACACATATTTTTTTCACTGTCATTTTAGAAAATTCACACTAAATATAAGTTTAAATTTTAAAATTATCAAAGCACTAATTTATATTATCAGTTTATCAGCTTTTTTAGAGAAACACAAAAACCCTCCAGTTATTTGTATACATACTCTGGCTTCTCTCAGAAGTCACTGACTAGAAGAAAATTCATAGCCTCCTGCTTGTTTTTTGTTGCTGTTGCTTCACATGTATGCTCATCAAATACACGGTCCAGGTGAGCCACAGGATGGTGCACACTTGCTTGGCTGATGTCCCCACAAGGGCTACTGGCAAGCTGATTCTAAGTGCTCAGCACATAATAGGGACTCCATGAATTCTGGTTTATGAACTTCAGTTCAAGTGAATCCCCAGTAAGTACTATCATTATAACATCATAATATAGCTTCCATGCTTGTGTTGAAGTGCCTCTTGCCATAACCCAAGGCATGCTTCAAATTTTGGCATAAAAATAGATATACCCCACACTTGGACAATGACATTTTACTACTTAGCATGGCCTATCTACCCTGTTCTTTGGCTCCATTAGTGAACCTTTGAAACCCAGAAAATGACCTTGGTTCTCAGTTCAAAGACATGCTAGAGAGAATTCTAAGCCAAAGGAAGTGGAGAAATATAAGGGCATATTAGTCCTCTGATTTCCTGTGTCCTTCAGCTGCTTGTGTACTGTTTACTCTTGTTACCTCCTCACTGATGTCAAACATCAACTAGACTAGCCCCATGTGAGGAATACAAAAAATATTTGTTGAATTGATTTCTTTCAAAGTCAGAGAAATAAAATGTCTGAAATTCCAGAAAGTCAGCTGCAGATGAAAAACTGACAGCTATGGCTCTCTAATGGGATGTACATGTTAGAAAAATATATTTTATAAATCCTCTATCAAGTAAAAGGGAGAAAAATTGGATGGTTTTGAATTCCCATGTAGTCTAAAATGTAATAACAGAGCTACTTATTCTTAATAAAAACTAAAATGCCAAAACAATACAGAACACTCTGTAGGTTTAGTGTTCAGCTGTTTTTTTTTTAATAGAGAACACACTTGTTAAAAAAAAAAAAAAAGACACTTTCTTCATTTTCCACAGGTTACTCTTCATTTTCTATGTATTCTTCCAAAAAGTTTCCTTCACTCATATTAATGCATATACATAAAAACACACGCGCGCGCGTGCACACACACACACACGCATGCCCACAACTATATCTGGATTCAACAAATAACTCCCTAAGGCCTGCACAATGAGATACAAGGATCGGGGTGACTGTGGTTCATGATTTAAAATTTTCACAGAACTAATATTCAATATATTACTAACAAAACATCTTTTAAACGTAAACTTCACCACCACCAAAGAAGTAAGTAAACTTAATACTACTACCACAATTTTAGAGATCAGGAAATTCAAAGGAGAGGTCCAGTGCTCTGCCCAGAAATTTACCCAGTAGCTACAGGAAACCAAGTCAGGCCTAAAACAAAAGTGGTAGAGGACTCCAGAAGTACTTACCCTTTCCATGAAATAAAGGTAGTAAGTGATATTTGCAATCTAGGAGATAAGGCTGAATTCAGAAATCAAACAATGATTAACTAGTACTTATGTGACAAAACTTACCTAAAGGCAGCAATAAGTGGTGCATAAATTGAGTCTCCATCATAAACATATAAATGGTCCCAACTACATTCTGTAGCAAAATGACTGAAACGAAGTCTCATTATTCTATTTGGCCTGAAAAGAACAAGAAGAGCAGTTTATAATAATCATCATAACTATAAAACATTTGAGAGTTGAGAGAGATAAATTTTTAAGGAACTTACAGGGAAAGAAGAAATGAATAGTACATAAATGACATTCCTTCATTTGCCAAAGACTTATTTCATACTTAGGGTGAGAGACCACTAAGCATGCAATGGTAAACAAAATCGCCACGGTCCATGTCACTCTGGACCTCACAGTCCGTACAGTGGCTGTTCTTTAACACCCTGTGAGCCAACCCATTAGCCCTTCCGTTTCTGCACTTCCTTCCTTACTCAATTTCAGGTTCCACACTACATCATTTCACAAACACAACTGCCAGTTCTCTATACTTGCCTACCCTCTGCCTTTCCATGGACCTACCTGGCAAAAGGTATCTAGAGGACACCAGTTATCTGCTTTGACTTGGATTAAATGCAAAGAAAACTAAGCCTACTAGTTGGTAGACTGTTTTCAGGACTGGTCACAGCTCACCAACTTCAAATTGGCACTTCAATTCTGCCAGCAGTGCTACCACTCATTCTCCTTCTCTTTCTCCCCAATTGCTGCTCACTCCCGATTACTATTTCAAACCATTCGGTCCCACCTCCCTGCTTAAGCTCAGCACCCAGACAAAAAAAAAATCTCTCAACTCCCCATTTTCCAAAACAGATACACCTACTCATTCCTCCATCCATCTCTCAAACACTTCATATCTCCCTCTCATCTGGAACTTCCCACACTCTCATTTAAACTTCCTTAAGCATCATATATTTTCAAAAAACAGCAGAACAGAAAAACTTTAAATCTCAGCTCTCCTTCCAGCTATTACCCAACCTATCTCTATCCCTCTCTCCTCTGAAGAGAGTGAACCTCCACACAAGATTTTGCTTTCTCTGCTTCCTCACATCCTACTCACCCTCTTTGCTCTCCAAACCTGGCTTTCACCAAAACACTCCACTCAAAAACCTCTTGGTACTATCAGCACCATTTATATCCTGATGATACTAATTATATGTCTCCAGCCTAGGCCTTCCCTCTACCCCACACTTGTCAACCTAACATGTATAAGCAAACAAATAAGTTCACAAACAAGTTAACTCAGCTGATGATGACTACCGTGAAGATATGAATGGAATGTGATGTGTAGAACAGGTGGTCAGGAATTACTCTAGAAAGCTTTGAAGAGATGAGAATGACAAGAGCTAAGCCATGTGAAAAGGAAAGGGAACAATGTTTTGGACAGAGGGAACAGCACAGTCTTAAAGTCCAAGTGAGAAAGAGGCTGATGCATCTGAGCAACATGAAGAAAACCAATGTGTCTCAAATACAGCAAACAGAAGACACCACATGACCTAAGACGTGAGAGGAGCAAGAAGCGAGAGCAAAAGCTGGGAGGCCAATTTCCAAGCCATCACAGCAGCCCAGGAAAGACAGGATGGTTGGTGTCTTAAAACAACTGCAGAGATGAGGATGAAAAGGAGCATGTAGATGGGCTGGGAAGACATTCTAGAGGGAAGGGAAAATGGGCAGAACTCACCAACAGGCTGAATATAGACATAAGGGAAAGAAGGAGCTAAAGTTTTTCCTTAGGCTGAGTAGTAACAGCCACCAAGAGGAATGCTGCAGGAGGGCATCAGATAGGAATGAAAGGAGAGAATGGGGAGGGGCAGACAACTTCTGAGGCAGCAGGTCCTCAACTGCTAAACCGCGGGTCTCACAGCGTCGGGTGAGGCCCTGGGGCCCTTTCAGGTTGTCTAGGAGGCCAAATCTATGTTCACAATAATCCTAAAATAGCACATGACTATCAGTGGATTGGCATTTACTAATGGAGCAATGGTGGGTAAATGTGCTAGCACCTCGGGACAGAGCAAGGCAGAAACACCAGTGTCCCAGTGATTACCATTATTCTTCACCACTACACACTCACAGAAAAAGGAAAAACTGGGTTTCATTTAAGGATATCCTCCTTTATTAAGTGGTGAAAAAAATCTTAATTTCATAAAACCTTGACCCTGGAGGACACATCTTTTGAATATTCCACATGACAAGACAGGAAGTACGCACAAACCACTTCTGCTGCCTAACAGAACCACGGTCTCAGGGAAAATCACTCGTGCAACCATTTGGGTGGTGAGCTGAACTAGTTGCTTTTTTCCCAGAATGTCACCTATCATTTTCACTTGAAAGAACAACAAACTATGATGAGTCAGACTTACTTATCTGGTAGACACTTTCTTAGAAATGAACAAAGCACATCTATCACTTCAAAGAAAACAACGGACACTATTTGTTGCCAAAGATAAAATTTAGGTTTTTTTTTAAATAAATTAATTTTTTATTGGTGTTCAATTTACCAACATACAGAATAAAATTTAGGTTTTTAAGTAGTAATTAGAGTTTTGGAAAATTTGCATCCGCCACCCAGATACAACTTCCCAATACTTAAAACTCTCTGATGAGATTAATGGTAATGTTAACCAAAGTTATTTTTTTCCATGTTATATCATGAAATATATCAAAGTTTGGAAGATCTACATAATTCAGTGAACCATGATTTTCCAAATAATCCATATATCTTGTTATAAAACCATGTAAGGGTTAAAGATCCATTCCAAAGTATAAGAAAACCAACAGATTTTAACTTAAGTTCCAAAAGTTCACATTGTTTCAGATTCCCCACTGCAATTTACTTTTAAGAAATTAGCACTTGTCAAGCTTTGATGTAGTATCAAAGAAGGCCACCCAAAATTATGTAAAAGGATTACTAAAATCTCCTTCTCTTTCCTACTACATATTCAAGTGAAGACTGATTCTCTTGACATACTTCAATAATAACAACATATTGTAATGAAGTGAATGTAGAAGAAAATCTATGGAGCCAGACAGAAGAGATTTTACAAAAATGTAAAACAGTATCATTCTTCTCACTGATTTTTTTAATATAGGATTTCCTTTTTCATAAAAAGATGTCATTTGTGCTGACACATAGTAGGTTTATCATTGCTTTTAAATGAGTTAATGAAGAATATCCTTAGTATTAATTTATAATATGAACAGATATAACCCACATAAATAAAAGTTATTTGGAATTCTCAAAATTTAAGAGTGTAAAGGGGTCCTGAGACCACAAAATTTGAGAAACACTGCTTTAAAGATTTGCCATGAAGAGAGACACCGGGGTGCTTAGTCAAATATGCATCCAATTCTTGATTTTGGCTCAGGTCTGGATCTCACGGTAACAAGTTCAAGCCCCACACCCGGCTCCACATCCTGTCTGGAGCCTACTTTAAGAAAAAAAAAAATATTGGCATGAAAAGAAGAAGGAAAAGGCAAGAGCTGGAGGGTACAGGAGGCCTAGAGAAGCAGCCATTTGAAGCATAATATTTTCATTTTCCTGCTCACAATAAAAATAGATACTTAAAAAATAACATAATATTTTAATTTTCTACTGCTTTAAGCAAGCCATTTCAAATATTCAACAGTTTTAACTATTATAATTGACGATATACATATTTCCAGTGTGTACAATTCATTCACAGCTTTAAATCAACACAAAACCTTTTTTCAAATTAACAATGAAGATTAAGAAAAATAAAACCAAATTCACTTTTTAGATGAAGTTATCAAACAAAAAATATTTTAAGTACTTTATGTTAGAATGTTGATTTTACTTGTAAAAAACAAAAGGTTTGCCACACTGAGCTCAGAAGAAAAAAAACAAACCAGCTATTACTACTTACTGTCCTTCAATAAGCCATGTGCACTTCGTTTTATATTTATAATTTCCAGGGCCATCTGTTACAAACCCAGAAGATCCAGTTAGTCTGTAATGCAAATAAAAAAAATTAAGGCCATCAAAATTTCACATATTAATATCTTTAATTCCCAATACAATGCAAGTTAAGCATAATAGGTACATTAATACACAACCAGAAGAAAATCACTGGATAGTTCTAATCAAATTATACAAATCTGAGTGAAAAGACTATTTGCCATATACTCTAGAAAAGGGGGATACAAACATTAAAACCAAGGGTAATAAAGAAAAATATATCTAAATCTTTCTAGCGGAGATGAGAAATTCATACTTTGTACCACGAAAATGACTATAAGAATTTACTTATAAATGTGAATTGCTGTTTTTTTTTTTAAAGATTTTATTTATTCATGAGAGGTGCAGAGAGCGAGGCAGAGACTAGACAGAGGGAGAAGCAGGCTCCATGCAGGGAGCCCAATGTGAGACTCAATCCTAGGACCACAGGGTCACACCCTCAGCCAAAGGCAGACACTCAACCGCTGAGCCACCCAGGTGTCCCTAATTGGTTTTTTAAAAGATCACATGGTTACAGTTACCACTGAAGTGTATTTAATACAATAACACTGTGGAGAATATAACTGTAATGGGCAAACACATCAAGTCCCAACACACAATGGACCCCCACACTCATCTAGCTGCTGCTTCTGAAGGTAATCTACCATACCCCATGAGCAGTGTCCATCAGCACCTGTCTTCCCATATTCGTGCCAAGTCTGAAGTTTGTCAATATTTTTAGGACTTGCCAATATGATAGGCATATCCTGATATTTCATTAATGTTTTGACTGGTACTAACTCTGATGCTCGAGTATCTTTTTTTTAAGATTTTATATATTTATTCATGAGAGACACAGAAAGAAAGAGGCAGAGACACAGGCAGAAGGAGAAGCACGCTCCATGCTGGGAGCCCAATGTGGGACTCGATCCCGCGACTCCAGGATCACGCCCTAAACTGAAGGCAGAGACTCAACCGCTGAGCCACCCAGATGTCCCGCTTGAATATCTTCTTATATATTTTGGTCATTTGTATTTCCTCCTTTGTGAATTAAAATTCCATATTCTTTTGCCTACTTTGCCACCAAGTTGTCTTTTTCAAATTACTGTTTAGGAGCTCTTTTTATATTTAAGAGCTCCCATCTGCATGTTAAATATACTGTGTTTTCTCAGTTTACTTTTCTCTTTATATTTTGTGTCTGCTATCTTTTGCTATATATAACTTTTTAATATTTAAGAAGGATGCTATTTCCCTCCTCACCGTTTTCAGATCATTTTTCCTCCATCTACATCACCAATGTCAGCCTCTCTGAAACAGATGCTCCCCTCCGGGTCTTTTCCCCTTCTTTCTGAGTTAACTATTAACATTCCACTTATTCCTTCTCACCCACTGATACTAGCTAGCATCAGTTCATTGCCTTCCATTCAACTACATCAACATCCAAGATGTTCTAAATAAAAAACCAGGCTCTCCATTTCTTAACTTCACCATTAATGATCTCTTCCTCCACCCCACGTTAGTCACCCAGTCCTCTGGGTCATGACATTACCTTTAACAGCAAGAGTACCAAAATCTTCATTTTAGGCATCCTACATTATGACTCTTATGTCTCAAGTTAATTTAGCCTAGCTCACCCTTTCCAGTGAGTCATCGGCCCCATGGGGACCTCCAATCCACTAAGCACTTCTTCATGTCCATCATCTACCACCCACACATCTGACCTTCCCACTTACCTAGTTAAGATTCCATGGTCCATCACAATTATCATCACCTGCAGATCCCTTGGCTTCTTTCCCCTTCTCTCCCTCTGCTGTACTTACCTGGATATTGATATCTCCATGTCTTACTCCCAATATCCATTTTACCCCCAAAATGTTAGTCTAAACTAATCATGGTTTCCTGTGCCCCCTGTTAATAAATAATTAGAAATGTGTATCAGTTAAGATTAGGTCCTAATGCAACTGGCAGAAAAATGTAAGTAATAATGCCTTACCCAAGATATAAAGTCCAAAAGAAAGAAATACAGAGCACCTATGGAATTTCTATAATCATCAAGGACCTGACACTCTTCTATCTTGTTGCTCTGTTATCCTCAACATGTGGCTTCCACCATAATCCAAGATGACTGCTCAAACTCTAGTTTTTATTCCCACATTCTATCCAGTAGGAAGGAGGAAAGAAAACCAGGTACACATCTTCTCCTTCTAAGTCAAATAAGACAAAACATCCCATCAGCCAAAAGTTACTAACATATCTAAATGTAGACAGAGACTGAGAAATGTAGTCATTATTCCAGATGACCATGTACTCAATGAAAAATCAGGATTTCCTTTACTAGCAAAGTGAAGAAAGGCAATGAAGGGTCATTATTAGTCTCTGTCACAGCACGTAATCTAAGATTTAGATGTGAGAGGAACTCTTGATGGATGGCTTCCAGGAAGTATTTTTTTCATTCTTAAAAAAGATAGTGTGGTTGACAGAGAGATACTTCACATAACCTCCCTTTTGAGGAAGGACTTACTGCCTGGTCAAGAGGCAATCTCCAGCTATCAGTTTCTTGAGGAGCTGCCTTGCCCCAGGTCCCACCCTGGTTAGGGCAGCTCACACAGAGGATAGAGAGGCCAGAGCATTTCAATCCAACATGAAACAACTTTGACAGACAATCCTTGCTCAATCCAACATGAAACAACTTTGACAGACAATCCTTGACAGACAATCCCCTTTGTTGGCCTGCAGTGAAGCTCTACTTCTTCCTTTGCCCATTTCTGCTTCCTGCTCCTTCCTCTCACAGGTGTTATAACCAATCTGTGCCCCAAACTCCATCTCAGCAAGGCAGCCATCATGCTATGAGGTTGAACACAAAGCCAACCCCAAGGATGACAAACCAAAGGAATGCAAAGGTTGATGAAGAGCAATACCAACCAACCAGAGACCACTCCAGGTTTATGGACTAATTAATTTCCTACTGGTTACTGATTCATAGTGTGTGTGTGTATACACTTTAGGCCCTTCTGGCTCCGAAGGTTTTCAAGCTTTCTACTATGCTTGTTTTGCTCCTAAGAGTTTCTATGGATTTCACATACATAGATGTGCTCGGGTCTTTGCAAACCAGCATCACTCTTAGAAAAGAAATAGGTGGGCAGCCTGGGTGGCTCAGCGGTTTAGCACCACCTTTGGCCCACGGCGTGATCCTGGAGTCCCAGGATCAAGTCCCACATCAGGCTCCCTGCATGGAGCCTGCTCCTCTCTCTGCCTGTGTCTCTGTGCGCCTCTCTCTGTCTCTCATGAATAAATAAATAAAATCTTAAAAAAAAAAAAGACATAGGTCACTTTAATTTTAAATATTCACTTAGTACCTTTAAATCTAGCATTTATAAAATTTTACAGATAATGAATAGTTATGATCACAGATAGGCTTTTTTTTTTTTCACAGATAGGCTTTTTGTCAACTAAAGGACAATTCTACTTTTGTAATTTCTCTCCCCAAGTACTCCCACTCACCTCATACTAAGATAAACATTTAATCACCTAGTAAGCATTCTTAACTATTTTTCTTCATACTCATGAGCCCATGATATATGCAAAGTTCTCTTCAATTAATTTTTGGCTACACAAATTATTATACAAACTTTTCTGCATCTTCCTTTTATAACACAACAAAACTTTGTGAGAATCTCTCCAACTAAACAGATATTAGTCTAATTCACTTTTTCCATGAAGCATAATATTCTAACCTATTGAAGTAGGATTTTTTTTTTCTGCCTTTCTCCTACTGACATTCATTTTGTTTTCAGTCAGCTAGCATTATGCACATTGCTGCAATAAATATCCCTATACATATGGCCTTACTTGTGCTTTAATTTCTAAGAATAGAATCTTAGGAGGAGGATTACTGGGCCAAAGGAATATGAATTTTAATTGTTAACCAAGCTGCCAAATTATTTTCAAAAAGGCTGTAACAATTCACATTTCCACTAACAATATGTGAGAGTATGCTATTTTCCACATCCCCTCTGTATTAGGTATTCTTGTTTCTTTTAAATTGTTAAGTTGAAATTCCCTATGTTCCAGTGAATGGCCGATAAACGTTTACTGAAAATTTAGAGAGATTTGAAAGGGGAAGGTTAGGAATATCAACTATACTTTCAGGTCAACCTTTATTTTATCACTGGTGATCCAGGTACAGACACCAGTACTGCCTGTGCTCACTTCACCAGCAGTCATATAAAGGCATTCAATCAAAACATAAAGACTCTTCAACAATAGAAAACCAGAAATGTAAAGAATTAATAACTTCTTGCTTCCACCTAGTTTCCAATTCAAGAATATATCAAGGGTGATTCTGCCGTAGAAACAAATACAGGAAAACAGGGAAACCCTTTATAGGAGGCAGATTTCAAAGGAGTCACCTTTTAATTATTTCTAATTTATTAGTATTATTACTAGGTAACACAGCCTGTAAAAAAAAAAAAAAATCTCAACGTTTCTCACAGGTTTAGGTTTTTTTTTTTTTTTTGTGCTCAAGTATATTGGACATCAATAAACTTTGACCAAAGTTCCTTGAACATTTAAGAAAAAAAAAAAGGACAGTATATCATAGGAATGTAAACTACTATCGATGTGTAATTCAGCTTATTGAATGCCCTATTCAACTCCCTTATATTCTTACCTGTTACCTACTAGATCTATTTCTAAGAAAGGTATATTGAAATCCCATACCATGACACATTTGCCAAGTTATTTTTCCTTTATGTATTTATCTATTTAGCCACATAAGCTTATAACCATTAGATCTTCATAAATTGTCCCTTTTATCACAATAATAAGCATTTATATAGTTTGATGTTCATGTTTCACCTTGTTTATTATTATAATTACTAGTTTTTTGTCGTTTTCTTGGGCCATAGATCTTTATCCAACTCTTTTTCATATTTCCTCATCAAATTTTCGAAAATGTCTTTCTTCTAAACAGGACGTGGTTATTAGGTTTTGTTTCTTAACCTAGTCTAATGG